AACAATATAAAAGTGCAAAAAAACATAAAAATAAATAACGAACAGAGGGAATAAATTTGAAAGAGATTTCGACATCTGTTTATTGCTTTCCGAGCGGTGCTTTAAAGATGTTGTATAGATAATTTTGGGGAATCAATCATATTGACATGCGCATAGGCAGTTGCCTACAAGCGTTGATATGTGGATAGGCAAAAAATTTATTGAATTTTTAAAATTTTTAGTTAGACAGTGTGCAGATACATTCATACAAATTTTAGAGAAATAAAAAATGGCGGGTCTTGCTTACCGTTTAATGCTAATCGAGAGTTGTTGATGCATTCGCTGTTGCATCTTTTCCTGCTTTAAAACTTTATAAAGTTGTAAAATTACTCAAAATTCGTTTATTAACTAAAATAAATTTTTTATCAGATCAAGTAAGTGTAATTGCCTCAATCCGCGACATTAAGCGGAAACACGGTAATTAAAATGTTGTCAAATCAGAATAAAATTGCTAAACAAACAATTTAAAATTCAGCTTTTAGTTGTCTATAAACAACTCATGTGGGCATAATTTCGAAAGAAATTCGGCTGTTGCCACTTAATGTTATATACAGGGGGTTGGGGGGGGGGGTGTGTAGCGAGCATAGAGAAAAATTTACGGGAATCATATGAAATCTATAGAAAGGGCATCGTTAATATTTATTAAATTTTTCAAAATTTCGAAATTAGACAGTGTTAACAGTTAGAGAAAATAAAAATTGTGTATATGCAGATATGCGTTTATTGACAATTAAGAGTTAATGCATCTGGCATCGCACGAGTCCTCCTTAAGGCCTTTATTTAATTTAAAAAATTACAAACATAGAGGCATTCATTTAAATTTCTTATACATTTTTTAATAAAAATTCGTAAAAATTAATTTTTATTGCCGTTTGAAAATTAAATTTTCCGTGTAAATTAAAGCTGTTATAAATTTTCATTGATGTTGAAAATTAAATTCAAACGTTGAATTTTTATTGCCGTTGATTTTTTTAAATTTTAATTGCATATATAAGTAGGGATGGGATTTATATGGACATAATATGGACATATAATATGGACTAAAAATCTCAAAATATGGATAAAATATGGACCGAAAACTGACAATTTTTAACGGAAAAATTTTCATTTTTAAGCAGAAAATGTTAATTAAGTTAACTCAAAAACGGCCTTATCACCATATGCTAAAAATATGTTTTTTGGACGTTTCAGAACCCAACGAGGCCAGCAAAAAAATATGGAAATCCATATAAATCCCATCCCTAATAATTAGCACGTCGCTGATCAGTGGTGTTGGGTTTAGTGTTTGTTATTTTTGAAAATCTTTATTGATAAACTTTTTAGAATTTTTTTTATAAATTTTAGATAGAAATGTTGATTTTAATATTTCTTCTTATTTTTGTCGATATACAAAAAGGTAATTTTTTAGGGCTGTCGTTAGTAGTGTTGTTGTTTCAACAAATTTTTGGTTATCTTGAACCGAAAATCTTTCTTTCTTTCAGTCCATTTCAGACTGAAACCAATAACAATAAACTTTGGCCTTATCCGGCCGATGCATTTAACCTTAATTTTGTTTTGGGTGAAAGTTCTGAGTTAATCCGATACCTGCTTTTTGAATACAATCTCATGGTTTTGGAATACTTTTTTCCCAACTGCCTCTTGCGCCTGACCCTAATCATGATTAGTTTAAATTTAGTTAAAAATAGTGAAAAATATGCATAATAAAGCTTTTAATTTAAAATTAAAGGTATTTTTAAGATTTAAAACAGGGTTCCGATCGGCAAAATGCCAACCAAAAGTACAACAATCTCGATTTAAAAGTACATAGGGACTAAATTTCCAAATAAAAATTACCTCCAAATTGCATTTAAAAAATTTTTTCGGAGGGAGGGGCCAAAGGGAAAAATTGATTTTTAGCGCCGCAGGCGAATATTTTTTTAAATTTGGAGCCCAAGAAGCCAGATTTCTTCCATTTTTTCCAAAATGTTGATTTAAAAGTAGATACTTTCAAAAAAGTACAAATTCAATTTCTTAAGTACTATTAAAATAGTACGAATCGGAACCCTGGACAATTGTTATATATTTTTAGCTTTTTCTGTTGAAATAAATGGAAATGATGTTTTGAAAATGGCTAATTGCTACATGGATGCATTTTACGAGAAACCTTCGATTCCTCGTAAATTAAAAATTATTAGTGACTTATGTATTAAAATTTAAGGCGATGATGTTATTCCACTTGATGAAGCTATGAATCCACATTTGGCTTTTTCTGAAAGCATTGACCAATGCTTAACTGACATTAAAGCTATTGTAATATACTTTCAAAGTTTAAATTAGGCTTTGAATCCCCCCCCCGTCATTTTTTTCGAAAAATATGTAAAAATGTCAGTCTGAACAACATTTGAAGTACACAATGAACTGAGTCGAATGACACCAAAATCAACGAAATCCGACTTGATTTGACAAAGATATGACATAATTCGTCAACTCCGGTAGGTTTTAATAATGTCATAACTTTGTCAAACCATGTCCAATCACGTTGATTTTGTGTCATTCGACACAGCTCGATGGGTTCTAAAATTGTTGTTCAGACTGACCATTTTTACATTTTTTCGAAAAAACTGTTTGGGGGGTGGGTGCCGGAATTTTGGTCACCGGAATTTTGGTCACCAAGAATTTTCGGAACTTTGGTCACCAAATTTTTTGGAATTTTGGTCACCAGCGGAATTTTGGTCACCAAATCAAAAAACGGAATATTGGACACTGAAATTTTGGTCACCAATAGGAATTTTGGTCACCAAACGGAAAAAAATAATCTTATCTAAAACTGATATCAAAGTGATAAAAAATGATTTTTCAACCCCCAGTTGATCAATTTCAATGTTGATCACTCTGCCAGTTAACCAATCATCCGGGAGAGTGATCGAGAGTGATCAACTGAGGGAGTGATCAGCCATGAGAGTGATCAACATTGAAATTGATCAACTGGGGGTTGAAAAATCGTTTTTTATCACTTTGATATCAGTTTTAGATAAGATTCTTTTTTCCGTTTGGTGACCAAAATTCCTATCGGTGACCAAAATTCCGGTGACCAAAATTCCGTACACCGGGGGGGGGGGGGGTGGGTGGGGGGAATAAATAAGTACTCAATCTTTGACATTAGTAAACATAAAGGGTCATTGCGATACACTATGTTAGACTAATTTATCTGATTTCACAATTTAGGCAAAGTTGAAAGCCCGTTTATTTAATGAATCGGGTTTAAACCAATGGCGCAATGAATCTATTGAAAAACTGAGAAATTTATATGCTACCGAAATTAAAGAATATGCTAATCTTCCGAACACCGGAGAAACATTGAGAGAATTGATTAACCAAATGAATTTTAGTGCTACGAGACGAATACTTATCAATTGGCGATCAGCTAATAATGATAAAATGAGGGCTGAATTCGTAAAACAGCATAATGGCGGAGCATATAATCAGATTAATAGTGAACGAGACCCGCAACAAAAGAAAGAGATGATAGACGGCTATGTTAATCAAAATCGGAGTGAATACAAAGCATGGGGCGGGTTGAAGAATGAAAATATTGAGAAGTTTAAAACCATGTTTCTTAATGATATGGACCATAAATACAATAGTTGGCGCCGTAAACTTAGCCCCTTTTCCTTGTTGCTAAATTCGGCCTATTTGAAATTTGCCCAAGTTCTTATTGAAAAGCTTGGGAAGAAGGTAAAATTAATTAATTCTAATCTCGGTATAAATTCGAGTAAGATTCAGACATTGATGCTAGTATAAGTCTTAAAGATCTCAAAATATTCGCATAATGGGAAAAACCCAAAATATGCTTCGAAAACTGCGAAATTTATCAGAATCCGCACTAGATATGCAATATGTATATAATTATATATTTATATTAAGAAACGGATAAGAGATGAAAATCGCAATTTGAATGGAATGTTAAAACGCATCAAAACATCAATCTCCGCAAATCTTTCGATTGTAGCTCATTCTTTCTTAAATAAAATCAGTGAATATGATACATTCATGCAGGCGTATGAGGGTCTAAAAATTGAGCTGAATAAAGTCTCGATTAGTCAAAAAGGTATTTTGTATTGTTTTAAATTTAATTTTATACATATGCATATGACAATTTGTTATTTTGGGGCATTTCTTCTTTGATGCAATACTTTTAGATTAATATAATGTAACATTCCCTTATTATCTGATAACCAGACTTATAATTTGGACTATTGACTATTAGGAGGTTACTTCCTGGGCCCGTATAATAAAATCGGGGTTAAATAAATCGGGGTAAAATAACCCCAACCCCGGATTAAATCAGCACAATAAATTCGGTACAATAAATTAGCATTTTAACCCCGAGTTGAGAGTTATTTAACCCTGCGGGTTAGCTAGCTATCTGACCCTAATTTTTTAGTTTATTTATGAATTGAGCTGATTGATCATGATAAATCCCACGCTGATATCCGAGCCAAAAAGTTTCAGATATCGGATACGATAACCTAATTGAATTTAACTAAAGTTGAGCGGGATCGTGATACGAGTACACCACATTATAACGCGAGCCCAGTGTACCGCCGAGCTATAACTTCGTTCAAAATGGTCGAATCCGGGAGGCCCTGGTATGGTTCGATTCAGCTCGTCGTGGCGCATCGAGTCATAACAGGGCCTCACGGATTCGACAATTTTGAACGAAGTTATAGCTCGGCGGTATACTGGCCTGTTCCCCGTGATCACGACGATGCTCCCCGTGATCCCGACGTAAAATCGGGATTTTGGAATAATTGGGATTTTAGTTCTTTTCTAGATTAAGGGGGGATAAATGAATTTGAGGAGATAGTAATATTCAATAATTTTTTACTAATTATTTGAAAATAATATATACGAATATTTCTAATCGACAAATAAATACATCTCCTTAACCGACATTTTTTTGAAATTGAATTCTAAATAAAATGGATCCGGTTCCGGACAAAATTTCGGTTCCTGTGAAACCTTTTTATTTAGCAATAAAGGAAGCTGTTCCGCAATTTCCACAAGTAAAACGTGTTATCTGGTTTGTTCGACATGGAGAAAGACTTGATAATGATAAGGATTTAAAAAATGAAGTCAAAAATACTCCGGGTCAACAATATGAATATAAAGGAAGAATTTATAATTTTGACAATTCCCCTTTAAATGAGACAGGTGAAGAAAGAGCAAAAGTGTTGAATAATGTGTAAGTTCTTTTAGAATGATAGAGTGGCTAATAAAATTTTTATATTTATGATGGGTTTTGGATAGTAGCAGCTGTGCGCCTTGGCATTTGGGGTATTTCTGGATAATCTTAGCTTTCTGACATTTGGCGTGTTTTAGAAATTTGAAAAATTGACATTCGGCGAACGCAAATTTTTGATTACACCATTGCTAGTATTTTTATGGTATAAGGGGTCCCACAGATTAGAAACATAAAATATTCACCCAAAAACTTTAGTATAAACTTTAAATTTATTATAATCTACAGGTTAGATAATCTAAATATTCGATTCCTTTTTGCCTCTCCGTATGATCGAACAATTCAAACAGCTGTGAATGCCTTGGGAGACAGTCACATAAATTATGATGATGAGGGCGAACTTGAATCCGAATTGAAAATAAAAGTTGAACCAGGATTTATGGAAAGCATGATTGACTGTGTCGGAAGAGATATTGGATTTAACGAACTTCGCAAATTGAAAAAACATTATGAACGCTTAGATATAAAATACAAATCCATTTTAAAAAAAGAGGAATTGTGTAGTCGTTATCAAGAGGTATGTTTTTAGGGTAGGGGACACTTGTGTACCGGCCGTTTGTGTACCTGGCCATATTTTAGGCCATAACTTTTTGGAGTTTCACCCAAGTCGGATAAATCTTTTATCAATCGAAAGCCCTGGATGTGAGGATTATTTTTGACAACAGAGTTATTTGATCAGATCAACAAACAAAAAGTTACAGCCAGATAAAGATCAAAATCACGATTGCACGCATTTATCTGGCTGTAACTTTTTGTATAATGATCTGATCAAATAATTCCTATTGGCAAAAATAATCCTCACATCCAGGGCTTTCGATTGACATATAAATTATTTAAATCAATTAAGAATAGAAAAAGTTATGTCCCAAAACATGGCCAAGTACACAAACGGCCGGTACACAAGTGGGACGTTCCGATGTTTTTATGTTACTGAAAACAGTAGCAAAGAAAAACATATAGTAAAACTAGTAGAGTACATCCCAAAAATAGCAAAAGATAAGAAAGGGACTCAAAATACGATCTTTTGATTGTTTTTATCCGTGGCGACCCTTTGATGGAAGATCCTTTGATGAGCGAGCGTTTAATACTTTTTGCCCGTGACGATCCTTTAATCGTTTTTAGCCGTGGCGATCCTTTAATCGTTTTTAGCCGTGGCGATCCTTTTATGTTACGATCCTTTGTAGGGACACGCTCTCAGATGCAAGGTTGTTAACCGCTCAAACAGTGATACATAAGCTGACAGATGAAAAAACCTTGTGCCGAGAATAAATTGCGTATGCCGAGAATAAATTGCGTTTATATTGCGTATAAACATTTTCCCCGTTTGTTACAACCTCGAAGTGGTAAGCTTCCTGAATGTTGTAACGCCATTTACCGTATTTCCTATATTAGAGCCCCACCCTCTGTTAGAGCCCCACCCTCTAATACAGCCCCACTTTGGAGGATAGTTGAAAAATAGAGCCCCACCCTCAATTAGAGCCCCACCCCAAATATAGCCCCACTAAAAATAGTGGAGGAAAAAATATCCCCAATAACTTTTTAGCTGTATTTCGAGAGTTAAGGAAGTAAAGGGGGATATTGGTGATATTGTGATCATGGAGGAGGAGGGATCATGGGGATATAGGGATGAAAAGGAGGAAATAACCCCGATATCCGTCCAAATACTCTTATATCACCTATATTTCTCCAAATCACTCCAGAAAATTGACGATAATTCGCGAGATTATTAGAGATCTATTAGGGATCTCGCTTATAATTAGTGAAGGAGAAGTTCCACAATTTCTCTGGAACCGGTTCCAGTTCTGGAAATGCTTTTGAATTACTTCAGTTCCAGTTCTGGAACCTGTTCCAAGGCCTCATCAAACAAAATCGCTTCATATGCCTCCTAATCCAGAATATCCCTTTTACAAATTAATAAAATTTAATCCTAAATTAATAAATTTAATCCTAATATGTTCCCCATAATCCCTTAAAATCAACTTTTATACCTCTGATCCATCGATGTCAAATACTAGTCCCCTAATATTTCCTTTAATCCGTCAAAATCTACCAGAATTTCATACTTAGTAATCTTACTCTCGAACTATTGCGACTATTTTGTTATTCATTGCTTATAAAGTTTTAATTTTTGTGGAAAATCGAAAATTTCGATTCTCTTTCGATATTTTTCGGTTTTAACGACCACCTCTCCAGCCTATCTCTAGTTGCAATGGATATTTAATAAATGGGATTTTATCACGAAAGAGTGTTGAAAAATAGAGCCCCACCCTCAATTAGAGCCCCACCCTTTAATACAGCCCCACCTTGGAGGATAGTTGAAAAATAGAGCCCCATGGGGCTCTAATATAGGAAATACGGTATTTCATAAAATAAATGGCGATATTTTATGAATGTAATTTTAATATTATAGCAAGAAGCTCGAAAATCTGACATTGGATGTATTGAACGCATGGAATTTGTTTTAAATGAACTTCTGGCACGGGCTGAAAACGGAAAACTAAAAAATCCATTTTATAGCAATAGTGTCGAAAATGGAAATAATGGATGGATACTGCCAGGAGAGGAAAATGCTGGTGAACTTTTCAAAAATCAAAACAAACATATCCATCTTTTTTTTAATTTTAGAACAATTTGTAATTGTCACGCATGGATTAGCTATATCTGCAGTTCAAAATCTTGTTGGAGGGATTTTTACATATTCGCCTCAGGTTTACACAATAGATAGTTTAATAATTGTTATTTATTAAATTATTTTAGACGTCAATTACAAAAATAGTTGAACTTAACCCATCAAGGTAGCAAATAAGTTTTTTAAATTAATCTTGAAATCTTTTAAAGTCGTGAAAGCTTCTTCACTCATAGTATTGCCTACTTTCTGATTATTAGACTTAAAAAATCAAAACCGACCTTTTCTGATATTTATGGACCATAATGACTTTTATAGACACCACGTCATAATAAAACCAACATTGCCCAATACTTAATAAAAATTATGCTTGATGCTAATTCTATTCGAAACTACACTCCTCCACATAACTATACAGCCACACTATTTTTCTAAATTTTTCCACCTGAAATATTAATTTGGAAATTTATGCATTTAAATATAATAAACAAGCAGCAAATAGACCTATTATCATGCTTTTTCAGAACCTATTAAGTTTTATTCAGTTAATTTCCACTTTACCTGCCAAAATTACCTCCACATAACTATACAGCCACTTGTATTTTGGGCCTTAGGGGTGGTCCGAAAAATCTACAAAAATTCCTGTTAACATATCCATTGATGTGTATAGAAAATACAAAAGAAATGAAGTTCCTATATAATTCCTTCATTGGGATCTGAAAACCCGAAAATCAACGGAAAACCGGGGGTAGACGTCTTTAAAAAATATTTTCGACCCCTTACAGGTAAAATAAAAATTTCATTTTGGGCTTATTTGAAAGCCCTTGAAATTTACTACAAGATAGCATTAATTTTATTCTCCGAAAAAAATTCAGCTTTAAGACATAATTTGATAAACTTTTAGGTCATAAAAATCACTCAAACGCCCCACAAAAAGTGATGAAAATGTAACCTACAAACTAACCTCATTATTTCTCAAAGATTAATTTTTTCTGGATAATAGGATGAAAACTATCCTGTAGTAAATTTCAAGGGCTTTCAGATAAGCCCAAAATGAAATTTTTATTTTACATGTAAGGGGTCGAAAATATTTTTTAAAGACGTCTACCCCCGGTTTTCCGTTGATTTTCGGGTTTTCAGATCTCAATGTAGGAATTATATAGGAACTTCATTTCTTTTGTATTTTCTATACACATCAATGGATATGTTAACAGGAATTTTTGTAGATTTTTCGGACCACCCCTAAGGCCCAAAATACAAGTGGCTGTATAGTTATGTGGAGGTAATTTTGGCAGGTAAAGTGGAAATTAACTGAATAAAACTTAATAGGTTCTGAAAAAGCATGATAATAGGTCTATTTGCTGCTTGTTTATTATATTTAAATGCATAAATTTCCAAATTAATATTTCAGGTGGAAAAATTTAGAAAAATAGTGTGGCTGTATAGTTATGTGGAGGAGTGTAGTATCACTTTACTCAAATAGAAGCTTAAAGCGCTTATCCATTATCTTCTGCTATATACACAGAATTTTCAATGTAGGCTGAAACCTATTTACATAACAATAGCAAAGCTCGAATGTAAAAGCTGGTTTCATTAAAGAAATTTTTTAAGTGTTTCTGCATCTCATCATGCATCTGGTGCAAGCTCTTCAACAGGACACAATTATTTGGAAAACCTTCGTTTGGTTTATTCTGGTGTTACCGAACATTTTGGTCAAGTTGATGCTAGCTATTTCAAACACTAAGACTATTTAGCTTAATAATATACGGACAAATCAAAATTTCTAAACAATTTCTTTTCTAAATTAGGTTGACATGATTAAGCGATTAGGAAAATTTCTTAAAATAATATAGATTAGTAGACAAGGAATCTGAATATGAGGGTTGAAGTAATAAAGATCGATATCTCGAAAAATTTAATTCTAGGACTGAACTCTTTGTTTTGATATCTACATAGTCCGTTCTCTACAATAGACTCTAAAAAGTATATCTAAAAATATTTATCCGTATATTAATTAAGTGTTTTTATTTATTTTCGGTATTTTTAAATATTTTATTCTGAGTTGATTTAAATTAGAAACTTCGATTTAAAATGAGGTGAAATATTCCGGATTAGCTGAAAAAATATTTTTTTATTCCGTCTTTACTCTACAGTAATGTACTAATATCATTTTCACATTACCTATACCATTGGGGATGTAGAAAATTTGGATTGATTGTATCACAGATTTTTGGTTTTCTGCTAACTCCATTACCTATGTCTGCTTTCTAGGGAGAGTAAAGCAGCTGGGCTATAGCTATTTCTCTCCTTTAGCTAGTGCAAAAGGTTATTAGGCGGATGGGAGCGAACAGCATCTTCAGTAGACCGGACTGATGTGTTAGCCATTACACCACACCGCCTACTGCTCAGCCTTAGGAAATTAATAGCTATATGCTTTACAGGACTATTAGTTTGAAAAAATCACTCATTTCTCAAA